GCATTCAACAGCGAACTTAGCTTCACTTTCAGCGGTTCCAGCCAGGTTCGTGGCTTTGCATGAGTAAGTACCAACGTCTTCCAGGTGAGCATTCTTGATTGTTAATGTATAATGACCTTCCTCATCTTTTCTCGACAAAATGTGTTCATTATCAATATTAATCGGGACACCATCTTTGAACCAAGCAATTTCAGGTTCCGGTTTACCAGTCACAGTTACCGAAAGTTTTGCGGTTTCAGCTTCCTGAACGGATAATTCCTGTAGGCCTTCCAAGAACGTTGGTGTTTCAGTGACACATTCAACAGCAAATTTAGCTTCGCTTTCGGCGGTTCCAGCTTGATTTGTTGCTTTACAAGTGTAAATACCAACATCTTCCATTCGTGCTTCCTTGATAACTAAAGTATACTGCCCTTTTTCATCTTTTTTCGACAAAATATGCTCGTTATCGATGTTAACTGGAATACCATCTTTGAACCAAGCCACCTCTGGTTCCGGTTTTCCAACCACAGTTACTGAGAGTTGTGCTGTTTCAGCCTCCTGGACCGATAATTCCTGAAGACCCTCTGTGAACTTGGGTGCCTCTGTGACGCATTCAACAGCAAACTTAGCTTCGCTTTCGGCAATTCCAGCCTGATTGGTGGCTTTACACGAGTAAGTACCGATGTCTTCTAGATGCGCTTCCTTGATAATCAAAGTGTTTTGGCCAGATACATCTCGTTTTACAATAAAGTGGCTGTTATCAATGTTGACTGGGATACCATTCTTGAACCACTGCACTTGTGGCTCTGGTTTTCCGGCTACAGTCACTGATAATTCGGCGGTTTCCTGTTCTTGTACTGAAATTTCCTTCAGTCCTTCAACAAACTGCGGTACTTCAACTTCCGTTTCTACAGCAAATTTGGCTTTCTGTTCAGCCTGCCCAGCTACGTTTGTTGCTATACAGGAGTAGATTCCAGCATCCTCCAGACGCGCTTCTTTGATAATCAACGTATGAGTTCCGGTTTCATCTTGTTTCGCAGCAATGTGGACTTGATCAATGTTTACCGGCATATCATCTTTGAACCATTTTACTTCCGGTTCTGGTTTTCCTGTAACTGTTACTGAAATTTCAGCTGTTTCCGTCTCTGTTACAGTCACATCCTGTAGTTTATCGGTAAATTGCGGTGCTTCCACAACTGTTTCGACAGCGAAATTCATACGTGTTTCAACACTTCCGGCAATATTGGTTGCTTTGCACGAATATGCACCAACATCCTGAGCTCGAGCATCCTTAATAACCAACGTGAAATGACCTGTTTCATCGGTACATTCCAAAATATGGCTATTATCGATGTTTACCGGCATACCGTCTTTGAACCATGCCACCTGAGGAACAGGTTTTCCAACCACTGACACTGACAGCTCGGCGGTTTCATGCTCCTGAACCGAAAGTTCTTGCAAGCCTTCCAGAAATTCTGGAACTTCTGTGACGGTTTGCTCAACCGCAAACTGAGCTTTGCTTTCTGCTTCACCAGCTCGACTGGTAGCTTTGCAGGAATAGACACCAGCATCTTCCAGTCTTGCATCCTTTATTATCAATGAATAATGCCCATGCTCATCTTTTTTCGTCGCAATATGAACATTATCAATGTTGACCGGAATTCCATCCTTTGCCCACAGGACTTCCGGTTCCGGTTTTCCAGTTACAGTTACAGATAGTTCAGCTGTTTCGGTTTCCGTCACTTTAAGCTCCGACAGTTGATCTGTAAACTGTGGTGCTTCCAGGACTTCTTGCACCGCAAACTGTGCTTTTGTTTCATCAGCCCCAACCTTATTGGTTGCTTTGCAGGAATAACTACCAGCATCTTCCAAGCGAGCCTGCTTCACTATTAAAATATGTTGTCCCGCTTCACCTTCTTTGACTAAGATTCGTTCAGAATCGACCTGAATTGGGACGCCATCTTTGTACCAGGAAATCTCGGGCGTCGGTACGCCAGTAGCTGTAACCTTTAGTTCTACCGTTTCCAGTTCCTTAATTTCAACATCCAATAATTTTTCAGTGAATTCCGGCGCTTTTGCTACTACTTCTACTGTAACGTCTGCAGAAGATGTCTCCTTGCCTTCCGAATTTACGATTTCAACCGAATAGCGACCGGATTCCTCTAGTTTCGCATTCTGGATGGTTAAGACTGACCGATTGCCTTCCACTTTAACCGTAACTTTTTCCATTTCATCCACAATTTCTTGGCTGTCTTTGAACCATTTGACTTCCGGTTGCGGAACACCGGAAAATTTCACTTCCAGCACAATTTCATCACCTTCCGTAACTTTTCGGCTCTTCAGACCCTCATCGAATATCGGTTTCCGGTCCACCTTCTTGTGCTTAATCTCTGCTTCCGATTCAGCCGTACCGACTGCATTAATTGCAAGTGCTCGGTACTTTGTGAAGTCCGATTCATCGGTTTTCTCAATAACTACACGCCAGTGGACATTGGAAACATCGTGTTCAACGGAGTAATGTGAATTGGACGTGATTCGGGTGGATTCTTGAAAGAACTGTACAGTTGGTTGCGGGGACCCTTTCACGGCACATTCCAGGACAACCTTTTCTCCTACACTTACTTCTTTGCTGCTGAGATGACGCGTAAATTGCGGTATTTCGGCTGCAAAAAATTATTTGGAGCATGCAAAAAGGAGGCTTTTTGTAAAATTTAGAAAAACTGCTGGACTAGTAGCGTAGCCCGACAACAGGCTTTGCTGCTGTTTGCGGTTCATGAAGTGCTTATTAAACTCCTCTACCGTTTGGACAATCGGCGTGGGAATCCATGCTAGTGATGCTTCTGCAATGATCCATGGGTCAGAAGTATTTATATGTCAGGCCCTTCGATCCTGGATTGCGTGCCCTCGTTTAATAATCATCATCTGCTCGATATGATTTAAGTTTTTTTTTAATAAACAATAATAAGATTTGGACAAAATGATATAATTTTCAATATCATTATAAAAGACACTTTCTCGTATTTCCCTCCCCCCCCCCCTTT